GGGCCACCTTTACTCTGCTTCTAGGGTGATGGGAGAGGCTCCTCACCCCAGGACCTGTTTGCATGTGGCTCTCTGACTAACATAATGCATCTTGATGAACTGAGGTCCTCTGATTCTCAAGAGCCTCCAGGGGCCCAGAGAACCAGGTTGCTGAGGGGCTGCAATTGTTCAGTGTGTCCATGTGTACACACAAACATGCACGCATATGTACACGAGCAGAGGATCCTTGTATGCCTTCCACTATGGGACCACAGGTAGTTGCCACACCCATCTGGGTGCTGTGACTCCAAACTCTGGTCCTCAAATTTGTACAGCCAGTCTCTCCAGGCCCTGGTTTCTAGATTCTCCCAGGTTGGGCATTCCCTATAGTCTTTTTCCCGGGGAAGATGGGGATTTTGTGTTCTGGGCATTCTTCTCCATCAACATGTTCAGAAACCTGGCTTGCTGAATGACAGTCGGGGTTTGTGTGCGTAAACGGAACCTATCACTGCAGATCATACACGATTCTACTCTCCGAACTTTGCTGTGGCCCTACTTCCTGTCTGATTTGCTTTGTAGTCCTGTTGCCTGCCTATCTATTTGCAGCTCTGAAGAGAAGTCTTTCAATGCTTCAGACATATTAGGTATCCATTTTAGCTTAAGACTGCTGAGTTGACACATTTCTCCAAAACACCTCAGCTAAGCACAATGCTTACAGATATCTGTGCTCACTGGGTAGTGGCCGTGGTCAGGTCTGGAGCTGCAGAATGGTTGTATCTGTAAGCCAGACACCCGGGGCTGGTGCCACACCACCCTCCATCTACATACACACACACACACACACACACACACACACACACACACACACACACACACACACACATTATCATCATCATCATCATCATCATCATCATCTGTGTTCAGGTCTGCCCTCCCTCACCCTGGGGGGCAGAGGACATGTCCTGGTGAATGGGGGGCTCAGGATTGATTCCCTGTGCAGTGAGCTCATTGCTAGAACGGCAGACATCCCCCACACAGTGTCCCAGTGTTTGGTCCTCCTACTGGACTTGGCTGATCCTGTGGTCAAAGCCTCCCACTAAGATCCTCTGCTTTCCTCAGGCATGGTTAAGTCCCGGGCACCACAGGTTACCAGAACAAGAGAGGTATGGTGAGGGCTGGCGGGGGAACTGAGCGGCCTTTAGGGACTCTGCAGAGCCGTAGCGCCCAAGGCTGAGAAGACGCTGATGCAAACGTGGAAGTGCCTGGACCCTCTAGGGTCCTGTTCCCTACACCTGACCCTCGGTAACATCTGCCTTTTCTGCTTCTCTCAAGGTCACCGACACTGAGGGTGGAGCTGCTGTCCTGGAACTTCTGTCCGAGGGGCCCCTGTGCCTCTGGCTGGCTGTGTGCAGAAACATGCTGGGCACAGTGCTTGGCCTGACTCCGGGTCCCCAGAGGAGCAGGTGTGCATGGGGAGGAGCCAGGCTCAGGGCACCTGGCTCCTCTCTCGGCTGAATGTATCTGTTCCCTTTGATTCAGGCTTCGGCATTCCCAGCTGAGAAGTGTCCTGGAGCTTGGTGACATGTTTGCTGCTTTGTGTGTGAGCAGCTGCCAGGCGTGGGCACCCTCAAACAGAAGCAGCGCCTTCTGCCCAGCCTGTGAGACTTCTGAGTGGGTACAGGGCACCCTCCTGGGCCTGGCCTCGGCTATTCAGCTAGAGCCGCTCCACAGGCTTGAGGAAACCAAATCTCACGTCTGAGGTTCTTCTCCAGCCCTGGGGTGTAGGGTCTCTGGGCTCTTGAGCCAGGAATCTAGTTGCGTCTCCTCCACATTCCTCTCAAAGCATGGGCCCCCGGGCTCCCAGCCCTGGCCGGCAAGGCCGCCCAGATCTGAGATGCTGCTATGTCATGTCACCTACGTGAGGGGGAGAGAAAGGGGGAGGGCAGAACTGAAAACAGGCCTCAGGTTAGGACATACCAGCTCTGCCCTGTGAGGCCACATTCCTTTCTCCTCTGTCACTTTCCAGACCAAAAAGAAAACAGAAAGAAAAGAAAACTGTCTCTGCCCCTTTGTTTAAGCACGAAGAGGAATAAACAGGAGTCTGGGTTGAGAGGCTCTTGCCTGAATAGCCTCCACAGGGCACCTGCCTGACCTATGAGAGAGGGTACCGCCCTCTGATGGGGTGAAGGAGGGCCTCGGCCACCCCTGTCAAGGTGGTGGTGTGCCTGTTGTATTGCTCACTCACAGTCACCTGACGGGATGCAAATCTGAAGCGAGCGCCACTCTTTGCTCCAAGTGGCGGCTTCAGTCTCCTGCCTCAGGCGGAGCTCCCTCCTGGTTCAATGGTCCACCCTGAGTCCCTCAGGCAGAGGCTTGGGCCTGGAATGGTTTGGCTCTTTCCTCCTGCGGAGCCTTCTGGGGCGCCCCCTTTTCACACTTTGCTCAATTCGAGTTAAAGGATGCCCTGAGAGTGCAGTGGTGGCTTTTCCTGTTCCTGATTTTAATGGAAAATATTCTGAGTGTTGAGGGTGCCATGGCCCTCAGGAGGAACCTGTGGGCGGGATGGGAGCTCTGGCTGCCTTCAAGGCCTTCTCCAGGCACAGGAAGAAGAAGGGGCTTGATGCAGATCCATTACCGACTAGCCCAGGGGCTGCTCTAACTGTGTCCTGAGGTTCTGGATCTGCTCTTTGGAGTCGGGAGAATGCTTTCCCAATTCTTTGTAGCAGCAATGCCTTCTCCACATTCAAGGCCCCCAGGAAGAAGTGATACCAGAAACTTGCCCCCCAAGACCATATATATATACACCATCTCTCTATTTTCAGGGTCTCTCCCCACCATCCTGGAGGCCCTTGTGTCAGGAGGGATATGTCTTGGTGAATGGGAGATTCTGGGGTTCCCTGTGCAACCAGCTCATGGCTAGAGCAACAGCTCTTCCCCCAGAACCCCAGTGTCTGGCCCCAAGAACCGTTGAAAATGCAGAGGTAGAAGTGGGGAATCTGTATGAGAGGGGGCTTTGGAGGAATGAGAGCAGTCAGCCTTTCCTCTGTGCCCCCCACCCCCACCCCGTTCTGAGGCTGGAAGAGCCACCTACAGCTGTTTCCTGGCCATGGCTTCCCCACATCTGTCCTACAACCTGGGAAGAGTGAGTTTTAGCCTCTGGCCAGCCAGGGGCCCTGCGGTCACATGCTATACTATGTCCTTAGTTGATAGACTTCCTCTCAGGGGTTCCCCAGGAAAAGCTGAGCTGGGGGAATTCGTGCCTCCAACTATCTTGAGCCAAGTGGACCCTGCCGCCATGTGGGGCCTGGGACAGGGGTTTGTCTCGTCCAGAGACCTGCTCTGCTGGGCAGGAGGGTGGGGAAATATGTGAAGCGAACAGAACCAAGTAGACCGTGTCTGTACTTTGTCTATGGAGTGCATTCTACCTACCTCTTCAAGAGCATTAGTCCAGAGCTGGTGAAGTAGTCAGGGGCAGAAGGATCTACAGGGAGGTGTAGGCCAGCCAGGGCTACATAACCCTGTCTCAGAAAAACAACAAAAAACAGACCAGGAAAGGCCACTGGCACCTGTCCCAGGCTCTACTGAAGACTGAAGAAAAAAAACCAGCATGATGCGTGAGTGCTATACCCGGGCTACCCCAACAGCTACCCCAACTCAGAGGGGGCTGGCCCTGCCCTCTGCCCGTAGCTGTCTATAGCACCCACAGTCTTGAACCACAGGTTCTGGCTGGGGGCTGGTGGAGCCTGAGGAGAGAAGACCAGTTTCCTCAACAAAGTGGAAGAGTCTGTTCCAGGCATCCCCTTTTAGCCCAGTACTGTTCTAGGGGCCCGGTGTGTCTGCTGAGGGAGCTGAGGCCCAGGAGCACCTGCCACTGGGCAGTTCTCAGCCACGCACACCCTTTACTAGGCCAGAGCTTCTGGCAGGATTTAGGCCAGTGACACAGGCAAGGACTGGTGTCTGTGAAAAACGAGGTCTACATCAGAACAGAGTGAGCACAACTCTCAGAGCTCAGTTCTGGGCATCAGAGGATGGGATCAGATGTCCTTCCCACGTGTTCCGAGGGCTCGGCAAGCTGCCCTGCCTGGTGGGTCTCAGAGCATGACTGCTCTGTCAGCCTTGGGCATCTTATCCTAGAGAACTGAGAGACTGCAATGAAAAGTAGTTCTCCAGGTGTGGGGTGCCTCTAGAATACTTGTCCTGTGTAGTGGTCAAGGAGCCTGTGCCTGGCCATGGGAGGTGATGTCCTAGTCAGAGTTACTCTTGCCACGATGAAACACCATGACCAAAAGCAAGTCGGAGGAAAGGGTTTATTTGGCTTACACTTCCACATCATAGTCCATCATTGATGGAAGTCAGATCAGGAACCTGGAGGAAAGAACTGATTCAGATACCATGGAAAGGGACTGCTTACTGGCTTGCTCCCTCCGGCTTGCCCAGCTCTTTTTTTCTTTTTCTTTTTCTTTTTTTTTAATTAAAAGAATTTTTATTGTATTTTTATTATTTAAATTTTTGTTTGTTTGTTTGTTTTCGAGACAGGTTTTCCCTGTGTAGCTTTGCGCCTTTCCTGGAACTCACTTGGTAGCCCAGGCTGGCCTCGAACTCACAGAGATCTGACTGGCTCTGCCTCCCAAGTGCTGGGATTAAAGGTATGCGCCAACACCACCCCGCCTAAAATAATTTTTAACTTTAAATATGTTTGATCATATTCTTCCCCTCCCTAGAACAACAGCCCCCCCAAATCAAGAAAATGACCCCCCACACACACACACACACACAAACAAACAAAACCAAACCTGTGGCATTTATGTCAACTACTCTTGAACATGAGGCCTGCCCTGGAGTGGTTTGGATATCCCATATCACTCCACTGGAGAAAATTGATTTCCCCTCTCCCAGCAGGTCTAAATGACAGTTCAGTTGTTAACCTTTACCCTAGTGGCTAGGATTTCATTCATTCCTTTTTAAAAATATAGCAATAAAATATAAGATTTAAAAAAAAAAAAAAAACTATCACGTCAAAGTTGGACAAGACAAACCAACAGAAGGAAAAGAGCCCAAGAGAAGGCACAAGAGAGAGAGATTCTCATTCACACACTCAGGAATCCTACAAAAACACTCAAGTGGAAGCCATATGAGCACATGGCGCTTCAGTCTCTCTGAGTTCCTATGAGCTTTGCTTATGTTGATTTAGAGGGCTCTGATTTCTTGGAGTCCTCTGTCACCTCTGACTCTTACACTCTTTCTGCCTCCTCTTCTGAGGAGCTCCCTGAGGTCTAAGGAGAGAGGTTTTATTCAGCCTGCTTTCTTATAGCACCGGGGACCACCAGCCCAGGAATGGCACTACTCACAATGGAACTCCCACGTCCATCACTGAGAAGATGTCCTACAGGTTTGCCTACACCCCAGTTTATGGATAGTTTTCTCAATTGAGACTCCCTCCTCTCCAATGACTAGCTTGTATCACATTGACTTAAAACTAGCTAATACAGGTGGAAAGCACTACCTTTTTGGATACCTGAACACTCAACACCCTAGGGCACTGGGGAGTCCTGTCACTGAAACAAAAGGAACTCTTGCACGACTGACATTTCCCAACTTCAGGACCATGAAAGTCCCTTCCAGGTCCCTTGGTAGCACTTCTTAGAGAAGCCAGTGAGGTTCGCAGTACTCACACTAATGGCTGGGTCAGTCCCTAGAACCCTGATGCAACCTGATCCTGCTCAGTTCCTTAAGTTGGGACCCTTGCTTGCCCACGGAAGGCCAGTGCCCCCTCCAGCTGTCCACAGCCTCAGAGACTCAGGGCATCAGAGCTTTCAGGAAGGGTGGTCAAGATAGTCCTAGTTTCCTAAGCTAGCCTATGCTGCCTATCACCCACCCCCAAGCCTGGGGAGAGCAGCTATCCTGGGGCCTAGATGATGCTTCAGATCTGATGAGAAGTGCAAGTAGCTTCATTAAGAAGTCATTAAGAACGTCTTTTTAAGAAGAACATCAGTGGTGCTTTCTTAGTCTGACTTCATAGTAGTGCACAGGAGACTGGGGAATAGGGAGGAAAAGGCCATTACTTACCCCTAGGTCGACCCCAATGGAAGGGTCCCCAGCAGGTGACACCTGACTCTACTCAACAACTCTCGGGTGACTGTCCTCCTAGTCCTGGTGAATGACCCCTTGGAGAAACCCTAACACAAAGCCTTGTTCCCCACAAGGCCGGTACACTTGACACGGCATGCTTCTGTGTAGCCAGTGGTGGGTAGCCACTCCATGGGCTCTCACTGCCCACCTGCCCTGGGTGCCATGCTCCGCTCTGGCTTCAGATGACAGACCCACTATGGCCTCCAGGCCCTGTTGCCAACACTTCCTTCTGATACACAGGATGGCTATCCAAGGTTACTGGCTCCCCTTCTGCTCACTGGCACGGGGAGCTCGCAGGGAGATGGCAGGAGCAAACACGTGGCTTTCAAGCACCAGCCAGGAGTGTGGGGAGTGTGTCCTGTGGGAATTTGGAGACGTGGGCAGAGAGAGCTGGCACTGAGCCCCTCCCACTCCCAAGGACTCCCCCAGGAAAGAGATGATCCACTTAGAGCAGAATTTGGCTGGGTCTCTTCCATTATCCACCCCAGAGTGCCATTGCAGAAGCTCCAACACCTTCACCTTCAGATGCCGGTGGGTATGAGTGGGACTCTGGCCAGGTGGGGGGAGGGGTGCTGGTATAATTCCTTCCCAGCATAGTGACAGCCTAAGAGCAGGCTTTATTCCACCCGTCAGACATCCAGCATCCTTCATGTGAGCTGTGACATGACCCTCCCTAGTCTACAACCAGCTCTTACTCCATCGTCCCTTCTTTCCATCGGGGTTGGCCATCAGTTGTCATGTGCTGAGGCCAGCTGTCACTGTTCTGATACTGGACAGCCTGGATGGAGAGTGACATGGAGGATCTGAAGGCAGAGCCCCATAGTGTCCCAAGCATGCACAGGGACTCTGTTCTGTCATTTGCCTCCCTAACCCCTACCCCTGCCTGGGCTCTTCCTACCCACCCCTACCAAGCTTCGTCTCCCTCTGCACCTCCATGTTGCAGCCAAGGCATGTCCTTACCTGCCCGCTCAGATGGCCCTGGAGGCGGTGGGTGCTGGGACTGTAAAGCCTGGCAATGTGGGGCAGGGTGAGGCTGGACAGAGGCCTGGACAGCAGAACTTCTGGCCCCCGGACAGACCTGACCTGGCCCTCCACTCCTGGGGCCACCTCAGCTGCTCCTGTGTGCACACACACCCCCTTGGCCCCACAGCCTAGCCCTCTTGGGTCTCTCGGGACTGAGGAGGAGGAGGGAAGGGGACAAGGGCAGAGTCATCCCCGTGGGCTGGACACATGGTTACACCATGGGTCCCTCATCAAGCCTGAAGCCCTGCACTACAACTGTGTAAAAAAAAAAAAAAAAAAAAAAAAGGGAAGGCTTAGCCCTGCCACCTCTGCCCCCAACCAACTCCTGGTCTCTGTCCACTGAGAAGGAAGGCCCCAAACCGGGACACTTCCAGATGCTGCCGAATGGTGCCACACCCTGGTGTGGTTTCTACGGGGCCTCTTTCTCTCTTACTCTGAAGTCACCACTGTTGGAGATAGAAAATTAGTAAAATAAAGTAAAAGAAGATAAAAGTAGGTGGGCTCCGCCCATATGTGCTTTGCGCCCGCTTCTCAGAGAGACTTCTGGCATTCACAGATGTTTGCTCTTCAGATTTGGCCTCCTGCCACCAAGAAGCTCCGCCTGGCTCTCCCTTCCATGTTCCCCATGTCTCCCCATGTCCTGGGATTCCCCCTGCCTGCCAGGCTCCGGGGCTGCTCACAGTTGCCTGGTGTTTGATGGCATCTTGCCCCTCTGGACACTGCAGAAAGATCAATGGCCTAAATGGGATTGACTCCCATGGGAGCCTCCCCTCCGCTGTCCCTGTCTGCCATGGAAAGGAGTGAGCCAGGAAGAGAGAAGCTACACACCGCAGAACACACACACACACACACACACCGCAGAACACACACACACACACACACACACAGGTGGGGGTGGGCTGTCTGAATAGCTAGGTTGGGCCTGTCCCTGGCTGAAAGTGGCTGTCATCTGTTCAGGAGGGTTAAGCTGTTTTGTGCCCCAGAAACCCAAAGAAGCTTCCAGAGCTGACCAATGCCTAGCCAGAAGGAGGGGCTGTGGCTGGAGGGGTGGGGGGGCTGCCCACAGGTCTGATCCAGGACTGACTTCCTCCTCCCACAGCCTCTGTGGATTCAAGGAAGATTCAGCGGCCCCTCCTGCTCTTCCTAGGACTATGGCTACTGCTGTCACCAGCCCAGACTCTCTTCCTGCCCGCCCCCCTCTGGAGGCGCCAACCAGCCTCTGCCCCAGCTGGTTTATTTTTAGCTCCTGCCCTGCCTGACACTGCCTTGGATTTTGCACTGGGATCTACCCGAAGCCCTTCCTAGGGCAGGCAGGCTCTGACCACCGGAGGGCACAGGGAGGGCTTCCTTCCTTGTGATTCCAGGAAGTGGCAGGAAGAGTGGTATTCCTGACCTTCCCGACCAACTGAGAAACGGAGCCTGGGAGGGGAGCCCAGTGAAGCCCATAGCAGAACAGAGTCAGGGTTCACAGCTAGAGGGGACAGAAGAGGCTGAGGAGCTGGAATGTCAGTCTGAAGAGAGCAGGGAGGAGCAGTTGCAGTCACAGCATGAGGCCCAGTCTGTAGGGCACAGGTGGGAACCACAAGTCGGGACCACAGCAGTCTGAGGGTGGACATTAGGAGAGAGAGAGGTAGCTGTTCATAGAACAAGGGCCATGTGATGATCGGACTCTATGGGAGACATGATAGCAAGGCCCATGTGGTGGTAGTGACGGGATAGTCCCAGGTAGTAGGGAAGAAGAGGGGTTGGGGCAGACGGGCCTGAGATGTCCAGGGTTTATGGAGCACCGGACTGGGTCCTCATGCTCCCAACCTTGCAGAAGGGTTACACCCTTGCACAGGAGAGGGTTTGGGAGATGAGTGCACACACAGCAGAATGCACACACGGCAGGATGCACACTCAGCGACGCTTACTCTGGGACAGATCTGTGTAAGGCATACCGCTCATCAAGAAGGTCCCTGGAAGATCAGTGGGAAGCCACAAAAAGCATGTCCACCTTCTTCAGTCCTGCGTGGAACGGGAAGGCCAGAACCCAGCAGGTGACACTGGCAGTGAAGACACCAGCCCATGGGGGCCCTGGATGGACCTTGTCAAGTATGACTCTTTCCTGGTAACCACTCACCGCAGAGGTCCATCCTGACCATTTGAGGGGCTTGCTGAATGGGTTTGATGAGTGGGTTTTGTTTAGTGGTATGATGAGTGGGTTTTGTTTAGTGTGTTCACAGACAGGCACACACAACACTATGGTCTGTTTGATGACATCACCATGTCCCCTGAAGGAAAATCCGTACTTTTTAACTGTGTTACCCCCAGACCCTAATGACCACTACTCTGACTTCTGCCACAAGAGTCATTCTATCCCAGACATTCATGTCCTGTGTCCATGGAGTCACACTGCACATGGTTTGGGTCTTCATCCCCTGAGTATGTTACCAAGGTTCATCCACGTTAGCTGTATACTTCCACGCTCCAGCCTTTGTAAGGCTGAAGAATGCTCTGTCATGTGGGCGTGCCACATTTCGCAATAAGATTTTTGTTGTTTGGGTCGGTGTTTTTCTGAAGTGATAGAAATTGAACCCAGGGTCATGCACAGGCTGGGAAAGTCCTTTATCTCTAATGTGCCCCCACAACACCCCATTCTGCTGACCCAACAGCCCACCTGTTGATAGACCTTGCACCATTGTGAAAAAAAAAAAGCTGACGAGAACGCTGGTGCACGGGTTTCTGAGTGGACAGGGGTTTGTATATGGTTACCGGGTCCTGTGGGTCACAGCTATGGGTCATTTTCAGACAGCAGCCTTGGTGGTGACTTGCAGTGACAGGGGAACCACTGTGGCCAGCTACCAGCTCTATTGAGACAAGGGCAGGACTGAGCTGTACCTTGGCTCCCAGGTCTCAATTGGGCTTCCCCTCTCCTGTCCAGACTTGGAGGCATCCAGCCCATACCACCAGATTCGCTGCTAAGGGTGGTCGCTAGGGATGGTAACCCTAGCGGGAGGCCCAGCCAGGCACTCTAGATATTCCTGCTGCAGACATGCTGTTCAGAGTGCCTTAGGCCACGTGCTGAGGCAGGAGGCACAGTCTTGGGTCGTGTCCTGGGTTCATGGTAGCATGCTTTCGGGGTGGCACCCAGGACGGCACTAGATTCAGAGTCATCCCCTTCCTTGCGCTGAGCCTCCTCCTGTGCTGGCAGTCTGGGTCCAGGGCACACACTCCCAGCCTCCGCGGTGAACACGGAGCAGGCAGAGTCTGAGCACACGGTACCTGCTGCATGAAGCGCAGTCCACACTGGCCCTGATGTGTCTTCTCCTGCCTGTAATTTTATCACACGTGGTTTAGGGTCTGCAGAAGGTGCGGCAGGGTGCTGCTTTCAGCCCGGAGATGGACTGGTTGTAAGTATTCCGTCTTACACGTTGTTCCCTAGAGCTCCTGCTAACTGGCAGCATTCCTGCAAACAACAGGCCTCTTCTTGGCTTGGCAGCATCCTCCTCGCATATTGTGCGTTTTCCTCTGAAATGTTTAACGTGCTAAAGTCTAGCTTCAATCACACCAGCTCTAGAGCAGACTAATCACTTAGCCTGATTGTTGAGCTGCATTTGGTTCTGGAATTTTAAAACACGGAAGAAAACAGCCCTACCAAGCTACATACCCACAGCCCGCTGTGCAGCTGATCCTTCACAGGAAAATGTATTGCCCTCTCTGGGGCTTTGTGGTTGGGTTAGTCTTTACTGGGAGTGAAAATTGTTTTACCCACCAGCACAGTGCCTAGAATGTTGGACAGATGTTAATTGTGTTACCGATGCCAAAATTGGAAACACCTTGCCCCTTCCCAGAGTTGAGCTTTTTGGTTTAATTACTGTAACTGTGATGGCTGAAACCGAAGCGTGTGTGCATTCGGAGCGGGAAACACTGATGTTAGGAAGTAATTTCAGATCTGCTTGGCTGGGGATGGAGATAGCAGGTGTGTCAAGGAGCAGGGCTGCTGGCTGATTCTGGCACGTGTGTCGGGGAGGGGGGAGTATGACGCTGCCTTCCATGCGTGCCCACGGGTGTTCGTTATGCTGTGTTTATAGCTGGCGGTGATCTCCCATCTGCAGTGACTCCATGATTCCCAGCCCTATTCCTTAAATGCAGAGGCAAACAGCAGTCTGTTCCGGCAGACACATGCTGCAGGTCGGTTGGTGGTGGACTTGCTGGCCTGGCCCAAGGCCTCTTTTCCAGACCCCTGCATTGCTCCAAGGTGGCATGTGTGGGTGAGTGGGGGCTGCTTTGGCAGCCAAGGGATCTTTTTTATTTTACAATTAATAGATGCAAACAAGGTAATAGACTTAGTATTTTAGAGTCGTCTTTGATTTATACAAAGTTAACTAATAGTTGGAGAGTCCCACGTACTTTTCACGGTTCCCCTGTCCTTCACTTCTGGCAGTGGGGTGATTTGTCTGGCAGAGCTGGTATGGACACTGTTATCAACAGCCATCTGCTCACCACATGAGAGTGGACTCTCTCTCGGAGCTGTGCATTCTATGGGTTTGGGCATAGTCACACTGTCACATCTTCCATTGCAGCATCATATACAAGCCTCTGTCCACAGATTCTGCAATCCACTGTTTCAAGTGAACAAACACGCAAGACCACGAAGAACTCCAGCTCCAGTGACACGGTTGCTAAAAACATCAACAGCACAGGTGTGCGGAATAGCGATGTGTTTACTTCAAGGCGCACTGGATGTCCAAGGCCCATATTCCTCAGACCATCCCTGTGGCTTTGAGCCTGGAGTGAGAGTGGGCAGCGCTTGAAAAACTCAAGACAACGATAAAGTGAGGTGACCGCATGTTATCTACTGGAAACAAAGTCCCAAGGCTGCTAATATTCTCAAGAGAAGGAAATGACTATTTGAGTCAGAAATCAGTGAACATAAAATGTTAGTTTTCCTTGTCCAAGTTCCTAGTCCCCATGGATTAAGTCTCTATAGACATATGGAAATATTGTGAATCAGAAGAAATAAAATGCTAACAGGGATTTAAAAAAATGTGTTTTCAAAATCAAACGTGCTGTTTTTGAAACTCCACCTTCATCAGCACCAGGTGGGCTTTGACTGCTGTCTGCACAGTGGCTCAGTGAATTCACTGAGCTGCCCTGAGAAAAAGCAGATTGATTAGGAGAAGCTGATTAAGCTCTGCGGAAGGAGGTGTGATTAATGCCTACTCACACAGAAAACAGGATGGTTACATTTCACTGTCTTCCCGTGACTCCAAGTCAGTGCCTAAGAGCTCCAAGACGGAAAGGGAGAAATCCATTCCAGGGACCCCAGGCATCCAACAAGCATCAAGGGTCACTGGTCGCTGCCTGCTGGAGGCCTAAGAAGTTGGTTGCAGGTGCTTCACCATCATCACCATCATCACCATCATCATTATCTTCATCTTCACCACTATCACCAGAACCATTGTCTTATCACCGTTATCACCATCAACACCTTCTTCATCTTCACTAACACCATCACATCACCATCACCTCTAACATCATCTTCATTAACACTTTCAACTCCATCACCATCATCATAACCATCATCTTCGTCACCATCATCTTCAACCTAGCCACTGTCACAACCATCTTCGTGTCTTCATCATCACCACCATCGTGACCATGACTTTTATCATGGTCATAGTCACTGTCATTACTGCCGGCAAGCCAGGTAGATGAGGTGGGTGGGGGCTGGGCCTGACTCCTATTGATCAAGACCCCATGTAGAAAAGTGTGTACTGTGTGAATGGACATACAGCCCCAGAGGAGGGCAAATACTGTTGTAGAAAGGAAGTGACAGGGTGGCCCTGAGAGTCCTGCCAGCACTAGGTATCCTTGTTCTTGGTGGTGTTTCAGACTGTGCAGTTGCCCAGGGCCTCCATGTTCTGCCCTCCCAGGTCCTCTTCTGCTCTCTCCTACCCTGTCTATTCATTCTGCATTTTTTTTACCCTTGTTTTTTTTTAACTTCCTGCTTTCAGGAAACACATACACTCCCTGCCCCCTGCAGATCTTAGAACTCAGGGCCAGCCAGAGCCAGGGTTGGCATCCAGTGCAGGAAGAAAATAGAGTTGGAATTTTGCCTATAAATGTCCCCATCCCTTTTCTGGTGACTGATACTCCATCCACACACAGCTCTGGGCTTGAGGATGCTCTGGGGATCAAATATGCCAAAGACCCTTCTAGTAAGAAAGGTGGAGTCTACTGCACACTCATTCCAGCCTTCCATGATCATCATTCTGAGCCATCCACAGCTCACCGGTGTCCAGGCCTCCTGAAAGCTACCCCTATGCCCCACAGAAAGCCCTGATGGCAGGCCCTGACATGTTTTGTACCCTGTAGCTTGGCAACCATGGGATAGAGTGGGCATCCTGTCAACATTCCTAGGACTCTCTCTCATCCTCCTAGCCCTGCCTGGTCTCCATCAGCACGTGAACTCACACTTAAGGTTACTCTGGGTCAAAATTGGGAATGAGGCTCCCGTCAGGACCCTCCCCAAGGCTGTTGTTCCTTTCTGCGTGTACTGGGCCTCAGAGCTCTCTACCTTCATCCTGCTCCTTCTGGGCAAGCTGGACTGCAGGTCTCTTTCTTCAGATCCTCCTTCCCATGGCTTTTTTTCTTCTTCTTTTAAATCTCCAGTAAAACAGGTGTTTCATGCACAAAAGCACTCTGTGGACACTGCAGACCAGAGTGGAGACAGATGGGTGGGAAGAGAGTACCCATACCAGCTTTCTTCTTCAGGTTCTAGCACAAGGTACCAAGGGTAGCAAAACTTTGGGCTTAAAGGAGTGACACCTTTCTACTTGGGTCCTTGGGGGAGCATCTCCTCTTTATTTGGCACATCCCTGGTAGTTTGAGCTCCAGATAGTCTCTGAGCTCATCCAGCATATGCCCCAGGCCTCCCCAGGCTCTGCAAGACATGGTGGTGACAGCGTTTCCTAGGAAACTGCAGCTAGCTGCCAGACCAACACGCCTGTGCCCCTTGGGGCTTCAGTGGGTGTAGGCTGGGATGCTCCAGAGGGAAGATGTGTGTCTGTGTGTAGTGAGATGAGGAGTGAGGGGGAGGAGGGGGCACATGTGTATGTGTGTCCACAAGAATACTCATGTGAGTATGTGGTACTATGTGTGAAGCATTCCCATGTGAGTTCTGTATTTGGGATCTTCATGGAGTGCATGTCTGAGTGTCTTGGGTCTGTGTTCTCCAAGCCTCCGTACGGATGTGTGAGCTTGTGTGCACTGGGCTTTGGTGTGCCTCTAAATCCATGTGGGTGTATGTATCTTTCTGTGTCTGTTTGTACGTCTGTGTGTACACAGATATATTTGAGGAGCTGTGTGCGCGTGGGCCGAGTATTGGGTTTCTGGAATACTCTTGTGTTCTCTCTCCGCAGGTCTGAGACTTCCTGGCTGCAGCCTCATGGGCCCAGAGCCAAGCTTGCTCCTAGCCAGCAATGTACCACTCCTGCCCTGGAGCCTTCAGGTAAACTAACTGCCTTTAGCAAACAAGGCGGGTGGGGTGGGCGGCAACAGGGTCACCAAGGCAAGCACAGACCTGGCTGAGAGCCTTGAAGGTGGTACCACTCTCCCAAGCTGACTAGCCAGCAGCAAGAAGCAATACTGTCTTCAGATCAACCCCCTTCCCTGATTCCCACCTCCCTCGGGGAAGACAGGATGTCAGAGCAGTGTAAGTATGAAGGAGGAGCCACTGTCAGGGAGGACTGGGGGGGGGGGCGGCCCCTCCCAGGGTGCCTGAGCAGGAATCAGGGTGGGGCCTAGGGAGCAGGGAAGGAGGACAGGAGGGAGGGAGGGGTTTCCAGGGCTAGGGTTGCAGTTGACATAGGCCTCAGGGAGACAGGTCTCCTCCATCATCTCCCCAGCCATGTCCTCTGCATTAGAAATGCCATGGGAAGCAGGGACAGCACAGGTGAGCCAGTCTGCAGCCATCCCTGAGGATGGGTGGGGAAAAGACCAGAGATCCAGAATGCAGGCAGGCATCACAAGCGGGATCTATGGGACAGACCATGACAGAGCCACCAAGAGGTTCTCTGGGAGAGGCGCTGCTGCAGCTGGTTGTAGAAGGGCAAAGGCTGACCTGAGCAGAGCCATGATAAACACCTCTGTCGCAGGCTCACCTAGAGATGCCAGCAGTGCCAGGGCCTCGGCTCCTCCTCTGCAGCCCAGACCCCAGCAGAAAAAGCTGGGAAAGCACGGGGCATACCATGCACAAAGGAAGGGGTGGATAGGAAGGTCTCAGGGACCCCAGCGTTCAGAGCTGCCAATGGTCTTCTCCGACAGAGCACACTCAGGCCTGAGCTGGGGCTGCTGTGAGGGGTTTGGGGTACCTCCATAGACAGGAAGGATCACATGCAGGCCCTTGTCCAGTCAGCAGATGTGGGCCCAGTAGAGAAGGAAATGCCTCCCCCCCCCCCCAGCCAGTGAAGAGCTGGGCCCTAGCCAGAAGGAGGGACAAGCAGAGAGCACAGCAGTCAGGGACAGGACGGACAGGATCGATCAGACCCTCGTTCCACCCACTGCCACCCCATCGTCCCCTCTCCCACCATCCTGTTTCTGCTTCATCCTAAGAGAGGCAAATCTGAATGTTTGATTCAGTGTATGGTGCTTCCTCTTTGCTGACTGGAGTATGTCTGCTGTAGGAGCAAATGGAAGAATTAAAGCATGCAGAATTTGCATAGTTAAGCTGGGTGTGGTGACACACAACAGTAACCCCAGCAGTCGAAAGGCAGAGGCAGATGTGAGGCCAGCCTGGGCTACGTAGTGAGTGCCACAGAGCCCAGGTTCCAAAGGGAGAACTTGTCTCAAGGAGGGGGGGGGGAGAGAGGGAGAGGGGG